CCCGCTAGTGAAAAGGGCGGGGCGGGGGCGGGGGCGGTCGGAGAACCCAGGAGGTGAAGGCGGACTTTGCTTAAAGGTCACTAAAACGAAGGAGAGGTGACTGTAAGGACTGGGTCTCCTCCCCTGTTCTCGGAATGCATTATTGCCCAGCATTAACTAATGATCAGATCAGAGAAATGAAAAAAACACTTATCCCTTAAAATAACTGAAGGTAATTATAACCCTGTTGTTGACACTAACGATGAATAATTGATCAGGAGTTACACACAATAAATTGTCAATTTATCTCCTTATAAAAAAACCCCCAGTGTTTGTGTTGTGTGAAGTTTTGTTTCTTCCCTCTGGGTATTTCCTAAGAAGACCAACTCAGTTCCCACTGGGGAGACAGCCCCAACCCCACAGCAACTTTTTTCAAACACTACAATACAGATGTCATTTGTTTTCAGTCCCATAGAGACTAAAGTAACATTGGGACACTTTTTAAAAGAGAGAGCAAGCTGCTTCCTTATAATTTTGGCGCCAGATTTAAACAGAAGGGAGTCCTGCCCCTTCCTTTGACCTGGGACTGCAGCACAGCAGAGGGCAGGTTTCACAATTCCCTTCTCTTTGACCATTGCCACCATGGTCCTGCTAGACAATGGCTTCCATTTTTATCTTTCTCAGAAAGATGGAGAACAAGCTGCCCTCCCCATGGGAACACAAGGCTCTTCTCTGGTTGGAGGGTGAGAAGGCAAAGAGGCCCCCTGCAGCCAGGTGAGGCTGGAGGCAGTGCCCACCTCTGTGTGCAGGGATGCAGGGGAAGGGGGAAGGAAAGAGTGCAATGGGGGAGGGGCGCTGGGCTCCGAAGGGCTTTCTCTCGGGCCGTGGGGGCCCAGGTCCGGATACTAATTGTCAAACACCCAGTCCAGGCAGAAGGGAGTGAGCAAACCCTTCGTCAGGGCGACTAGGAAGGGAATGTCAGCAACGGGCGAATGTCATTGTCACACATTACGTCTCCTTCGAATAAGTCTTAAAAATACCTGGGGATTTGTCACTTCCATAAGGTTTGAAAATTCATCAAAGGGGCACGTCCCCTTTGCGATTTGTAGACGTTCAGATGATGTTAATCGTAAGAGCCACGGATCGCACACTGTTGCCTTCTTCTCAACATAGCCTCTTGGGGTGACACATTTTTAAAACATTTAATGTGTTATTTTTGGAAAAGTGGTTTTCAAACATGTATTTAATAGATCAGGCTGTGTCTTTAATTTGGGGTTAAAAACGAATGTTTTCCTTGGGATAGGCAACGCACGGGGTAATGACAGACGCTTTTGTGCTGGCTCGTCGTTGCATGCAGTTACTTGGGGTAAGTTGCTAATCAGTCAGCGTGTTATTGAAATTTGGAAAGGGTTGCTTCTGACAGCAGGGGCATACTGGTGTGGGAGGATTTTTCCCAAAAAAAAAAGTGATGTTTCTTTAACTGGACTCTAACATTTATTCCACAACGTCCAATAAAGCAGTTTCCACCTTACCTTAGCTCCTTAAATATTTAGATGCATTGTTCAGTGACTCTAAACCGCTCCCGGCATTGGAAGGGCGGCCCGGTCCTCCCGGTGTTTCTCCGCAGCTGTTCGCAGTCAACACGGGGAAGAGAGCGCGGTCCCGGGCCACCCCCGGGCGCTCGAGCGGCCGCCGGCCAGGAGGGCCCCCGGCCCGCAGCCTCTCCCCGGCTCCTCGCCCCTCCGGCCTCCCATCAGACAAAGGTGGACGAAGTTCCTTTCAAGTTTCAAAAGCAGTTGCTGAGCAGCTTTGCAGAAACAATAACTCTTTTATTGGGAACAAATGTTGACATTTGGCGGGCGCGGGAGGCAGCGCCCGACCAGCCGCAGGGCCAGCGCCCCCAGGGCTCTCGGCAGCGCCTGTCCCCCGGGGCCCACCTGAGATTAAAGCGCGAATTCCGATAAATAAGCTCTAACGAAAGCCCCGGCCGCCGAGGGCGCGGAGACTGTGGCGGCAGAGGACGCGAGCGCCAGGCCGAGAGAGGGGAGCGAGCGCGCGGAGGCCTGCGCCGCCGCCACCGCCAACGCCACGCTCCCCAACGCGAACCACGGGCCCAGGTCGCCACCGAGCGACTGAGTCCTCATCCCCGCACCCAGTCGGCCAGTGCAAGCGGGGATCTGGCAGGCTACTTCAATCTGATTAAAGCGAGCGCAAAGCAAAAACAGAAACGCCTTCAGACCCTCTAACTTCCCTCCCGGAAGAACTGTGCTCGCGTTCTCTCTTCTTCACGCCCCACTTTCTTCCTCCCTTATCTTTCTTTCTGATCTGCACCAGATGAGAGCCGGCCATCCTTCTACCTTCATTTCAGTCCACCTCCGTTCCTCTGAACAGTTAGTTCCAAACACCATCAGGTTTTCTCCTCTTGGTGCATATTTAAACATCAAGTTCTCCAGAAAGAAATTCTAGTCAAAGGCAGGGCGGGTTAGTTACGGAAATCTAAAATAATCTGCAGAACGCAGAAACATAAAAGATGTGTTCGCCTGGGCTGATCACCTGAATGGCTCTGAGTCTTCACCAACTGCAATGTGCACATTGTCCCAGAGACCCAGGGTCTGGTGTGTGTGTGTGTGTGTGTGTGTGTGTGGAAAGGGGACAGGGATCCCATGGCAGGTAAACTAATCTTCCCTGCTCCAAAGGGAGGCAGCTTTGACTGGGGCTTCCATATCTGACAGATGCTGAAGACCCATTTTTGTCGGGGGTTTATAATCCCACGTGGCAAAGCTTCCTTGGGAGGAGATCTCTTGCCACAAGTGCTGTATCTTGATCAGAGAGTAGGGTCTTACAGTGTGTCTTTAATTTGCTAAGTACTGTTAACTTTCACACTTTTCACCGAAGTCTTCAAAATGCGCAGATTGGAATGTCGCGTGTGGCCGAGCTGTGGCCGCCATGTGTGTGGTTCCCTGCTGACTTCCAAAATGTGGCTAATATTAGTAAAGACAACACGTGCAATCAAAGATGCCGTCTGGAGGGAAAACATCATTATCTTTAGAGAAATCCTATGAAGATGTTGCAGCTAAAACACAAACAAGCAAACAGGCTTGGAACTATGCCTTCCCCTGAGCCTCACAGGTCTTTCTCAGACACACTGCCATAGAGTAGCAGCCTCCCCAAACGCAAAATCTTGTCTCGCCACCAGCTAGCTCCACTCCCCGCATGTCCCTTCCTAGTACTAAGGGAGGCAGGGGCGAGAGAAAAATAGTTCTCCACCCGTAACGATTTTGAGCCCTGATCTCCAAGTGCTAACGTATTCAAAACCCACAAAATGCCTAAGAGGGAGAGAAACCCGAAGCCCTGTTTGACCTCTCTGCACAATGAAACCTTGAGTTTCCCCCTCCCCACTGGCATGGCTCCGTGTCCCCTTAACGCTCCCCAGGCTTTGCCTCAAGTATCTAAGATTACTTTCAAATACCCTTTCTAACAAGACCCCAGCAAGAGGCCACTAATTTCTACAGCACAAAAAGCCACCGGAGAGAGATACGTTTGTCAACAGCAACTGGTCGAGCAATTTCCCATCCTCAGACACATCGGCCTATCGGAGCTGGCAGATGTTTAGACAAGATTTTATAAATTGTTCAATATCAGCCCATAATGAACCCCAACTGACCATTCCAAAGCGGCTAAAAGCATCTAGGATCGCCCCCGCTGGGATCCAATAATGCACTCATGCTGCAGGATTATTAATCATGGGATAAAATAGATGAGCCTCTTGAAAAATAAGTGTATGATTGATTAAAGGGCGATCTAAGAAGCTATTATTCTTGTTTTATAACCGTAAGTTATATTCACTCAATTTATCTTTGCAGGGGAAATAAATGAGCATTCGTTTCTTTTCTGAAATTATATTATATGGAAATACATAGGATGGTGCTGGGAATTAAAGTGACAGGACTGCCGCTTTCACGGTGCTAATCAAAGGGAATATGTTCCTTGACTACAGATTTTAGACTTGTCCTGTAATTACAAAGTGAGTGAAAGAATACAGACCCGGTAGTCTGAGGTTGTTTAAACTTTTCTTTTCCCCTGGGGGAAGGGAGAGAGTTGCCGAAAAGAGAACACAGCTCTCACTCAAGATTTTCATCTCGTGTTTAATGTGAGTGATATGGAAAAGAGAATTAAGAAGTTATTCAATAAATTTTAATCATTTTTGCCTATTTGGATAATTCATGTTTTGTTTTGTTTGTTTGTTTTTAAAAATGATTTCCCTCAGTAAGTGACTGTGGAGGCTATACCTATCAGGTCATCTGCGTTACCACGATTTTTCCAATTTAGTCTACTGAGGAGATTTCTGAAGCCAGAATCAGATATGAGCACAAAACGGTTCCGACTTTAGCACATGTGGACCTCAGATCATTTTCTGTTGCCAAGGCTTCTTATTTCCATTAAAGAGTAAATTGAATATTCTGAACACAGAACTTCTTTCCTTGCAGCACATTTGTATTTAAATGATCTAGAACCTTCTGTACCTCCCTACGGGGCATTTCTCTGCCATCTGCCTTTTTTTCTGGGAGGGAGAAGGGAGAGATCCTTTGAGGTATTTTCCTAAAAGGCCTGGGGTCAGCTCACCTCACCCAGGGGAGCAGAATGAAGACTCCCTACCCAAATCACTCTTCCAGGAAAAATGAGCCCCAAACGCCATGTCATTGTAGTCTAGTCTGTTTTTATTTACAATTTAAGATATAAATTAGTAAAGAATTCTTGTTAAACAACCAACAAAGATTGTATAACCAGCAATGTTCAAATAAAAACCAGGCAGAATTTATTTACAAAAAGTTTAGATTCCATTGCAATACAACTTGCATAAATTACTAGAAGCTTTATATCATTATAAAAATAAATATCAAATTTGTTTCCACTTCTTAAGTACTCAAGTTCTTCAATCACATTTTATTATTTCTACTGTGTACATCTTTTACAAATAAAATTTCCAGTCAATCCTATCACACCTAGAGAATAGATACCGTGGCAATGAAGTGATAATTCAAGAGATCCTGAGGAAAAAAGAAACAGATTGTTCGCGAAAGTCACACGTACATCGGAGAAGCTACGCTATGCCAACAAATTCACACATGGCCAACAAGGTCTGTTCTAACCATTAGAGTCTGTGCGTGGTGGTGCGCTGTGCGTTCTTCTCACAGACAGTGGCACGAGATGGGATCCGGATTTAAAGATCGGGTTTTTATATCTGTATATTTATTAGATTGGGAAGCTGGCTGGATGACTTTTTTTTTTTTTTTTTTCCAAAGCAATTGTGACACCTACCTGTGGACCAAGGAAAAAACCCAATCACCCTAAATCCTTCAGTTGCACACCACCACCATCACATTATGAAAATGAGTTGGTCTGCAATGGCTCCACCTCTTCCCCCGTCTCCAACATCTGTGATTAGTGATTTTGCCTAGCTGGAAAGTAACATATTTTTGGAGACACTGCTTTGAGCCAGGCAAAAGGCAGTGTCCTATCTAGGCCCTCTGGACCCATGGGGACAAGCCTGATAAAAGAAAGACCAATTCTTCTTGGTGTCTCCTTGGTTATCCTAGGCAGCCTTCATGAATAAGGGTCTTTCTTGACCCCCAACATGTCAGTAGCACTACCTCATCAAAACAAATGTCTATTATGTGTCTAGTACAGTAGAAATGGTTCTAACCTGCATACAAATGACCAGATTTTACTCTTTTTTTTTTTTTTTTTTTACTCCCAAAGAGGAAACAAACAGCAGTGGTGTGATACATTTCAGTTGAGGAGTCATCCTTCAAAAAACAACTCGAGAGAAAAAGAGAATCTATAAAAGAATGGATATTCTCGTCCTTGAAGGAAAACGAGACTGGACAAGATTGCCAAGCTGTGTCCTCCAACCCCGTGACAAAAAGCAGGAAATGCACATTAAGCGAGTTTACAGCACAGACGCCCTGGAAGCTATCGCCAAGCGCCCACTTACTTGAAACGCTGCACACCGGCCTTCTATAGGTAGGGCTGGACACCCCCGCCAACCGCGCAGCCCTCGCTGGCATCTGTCAGGGGAGGGGGGCAGTTAGTAAGAACCCACCAGAGCCAGCTGTCTCCAAGCCCACACACCCGCTCCCCGCACCAGCAAGCAGTGTGGGAACCCTTCCTTCCAGTAGTTTCCTTCCCCCCCCCTTTTTCCCTTAAACTCCCTTCTAAAGTATTCTGAGCTCAAACCAGAATGAGGAGGCCACACAGAAAAGAACAGAAAAAGCAAAAAAGGTGCTTATTGAGCAAGTAGAATGAGTAATGCCTCTGGAAACATCTAGAATGTTTTGCTTCCATGCAGCTCAAGACAGAAAAGGAAGCCCAGCTGTGGTTCTACTTAAACAACAGAACATGGCTAACCTGAAACTTCACAGCAGGGCTATGGGCTGTCATTTACATTTTGTGGCAACGTACAGTAGAGTAAAATTAAACCGATCACGGTGATAATAGTATCAATAATAATTGTGATAATAAAAAGTACATCATAACAGGGTATGTCTTGGTTCATGCAAGAGGACAAAGCCATCGCCTCCTCTCCCTGTTTGGCTTTACCTCCCACCTCCCTACACCCCTTTCTCAAATGTGTGGCTTTTCCTATTTTCCCCCCCTGTTCTGCTCCTGGAAGTGACACGGGTTCCTTGGGCCATATCAACGCCCCCCTTCTGGATTCTTGGGAGTGCTAACTAGCGAGAGACACACGCGCAGCAGCTTTCCTTCCCCAAGGACCCCACGGGGCCCCGGCTGCCTACCTTTCTTGGGCTCGTAGCCGCCGCCCGGCGGCCGGTAGTGGGCCTCCAGCGGGTGGGCACCCGCCTTGCCCGCGTCACTGCCTGCCTTGGGGGCGGCGTGCAGCGCCTCGCCGGAGGCTGCGGCGGCCGAGTTGTAGCGCAGGAGCCCCTGGCCCTGCAGCGCCGCGTTCAAGTTCCCGTAGTTTGTGTAGTTGCCGTAGAAGGGCGACGTGTAGTAGAGGTGGCGGCCAAGCAGCGGAGAGGCGGAGTAGGGCGAGCCGCCTGGCGGCGCCCCGGACGACGCAGGCGCCGCGGCCGCGGGCAGACCCGGGGGCCCGCAGCTTGGGCCCAGACTCGGCTGCTTGAGGTCCGACGTGGCGATCTCGGCCAGTGACCACAGCTTGGGCTTGGTGGCGGGCGGCGGCACGCCCGGCGACGTCCGGCTGCCCAGGGGAGCCTTGCCGCCGCCGCGGGGGGCGGCCTCTGGCGGGGGGCTCAGCAGTGGGGCCTCCACGCCCGTCAGCGGCGACGAGGTCACGGGCTTGGGTGGCGCCAGGTCCCGCTCGCCCTCCTCGTCATCATCCTCTTCGTCCTCCAGGTCGTCGTACTTGTCCTTGCACTCCGAGCCCGATTCGCACAGGGGGTCCCCGGTGCGGCACGGCAGCTTCTCCCCGTCGGACTCGGCAGAACACGAGTGATCTGTGAGCGAGTCGACGTGCAGGCTGATTCCTGCGGGGGCGCGGGCACGGTCGGTCACACGCGGGAACTGCGCGGGCCATCTGGGGCCCCCTGACCTCGCCCCAACCCCAGCTACGTATTGGGGGGAGCTTTAATCTCCCCCCAAAAAAGCGCCCCAAGAGACCGCAAGGCCGGGCCTGGGTGCGCGGCTGGCAGCGCTCTCGCTGATTTCAGCTCTGCGCCCCGCCTGGGAAGAAAGCCCCCTGGCACTGAGCCGGCCGCGCCTGCACTCACCTTCATCCTCCGCGGAGGTTTCGGTGCCCTCCTGCGCCTTGTCAGAACTCTCCTCCTTGTTCCTGGCCGCTTCCCCCTCGTCCTCGTCCTCGTCCTCGCTTTTGTTCCGCGGGGCCCACGTCATCTTGTTCTCCTTCTTGAGGCGCCGCCGCGCGTTGGCGAACCAGGTGGAGACCTGCGTGAGCGTCATCTTGGTGATGATGGCCAGCATGATCTTCTCGCCCTTGGTGGGGTAGGGGTTCTTGCGGTGCTCCTGCAGCCAGGCCTTGAGCGTGGCCGTGGCGTCCCTTGTGGCGTTCTTGCGGTACGCGGGGTCGTTAAGCTGGTACGGGTAGGCCGCGCTGCCATACGGGTGGTAGCTGATGGCGCCCGTCATGCCGGTTGTGTGCGCGTCGTAGGGCGCGCCCTGGAATCGACAAGAACTTGGTGAGTGGGGCGCGCTGTGACTCGCCAGGCACTAGCCAGAGGCGACCCCTCGCCGGCCTGCCGCAGTCTTTCCCACGGTGGGGCTCCTACGGTTCCTACACTGGGGCAGCGCTTCCCACAGCAGAAGATCAGGAAAAAACCGGTGGGTAATTTAGGGCCAGCAATTGGTCCGAAAAGTGCTCTAGTTTCTTTCTTTAATATTTGAACTATTTCACGTTCATAAAATGACGTATCTTCCCCCGATTGACCCTGAGTCGCGCGGACACAAACGCGCGCGCGCATGGGCCTACAGGTAGTTTCTTGATATCTAAATTTCTCCCAATCTTTCAAGTGCTGCTGCCGCCCCTCGCTCCCCCTCACCCGCCCTTTTATGGTTGAAAAATCACCCTGGAGCCCCCCGCTCTGCCATTCACCGCTCTAAAGCTCTGCAAATCCAATTTGCAACTCAGAAGCCAGTCACCGTTTCGAATTCTTCAAATACGCGGTAATTAGCATTTTAATTCAGCCTTTAACGTTTAAATTCGAGACACTTGCAGTCTTCGCCAAAGCCTTAGCTCCTCCATGGCTGCCCTGGAATTCCACCCAGGCCGGGCAGCGAGGACTACTCCCTTCGTACCGGCCTGGGTCTCCCGAAGTGCACTTTTCCATGGCCGGGTCCAGCTGCGGACCCACGGAGAGCGCGGACGGGCCCTGGGTCGGGAGCGGGCGCCGCTCCCGCGGCCAGGCGACACTAGGGGCACTTAGCGGCCGACACGTTTCTCGAAATCAAGGCCCGCGGTAGGGATGAGGGCCGAGGCCGGGGCGCGCCGGCAGGAACCCGGAGTTCTGCTGTCCCGGTCTCCGCCACGAGAGGTTCGGCTCCCGCCTCGAACAAGGGTCGCGCCAAGCCGCGAAAGTAAATACAAGTCGCCCGCGCCCTCCCCTAGACCCGATCGGCGCCGGCCCTCGGGCCCCGCGCAGACGCAGGCGCGGCCCCGGCTCGCTCGGGACCCTTCGCCAGGCGGCAGCGGGCAAACGAGGACATTTCACAACAGACCCCAGCCCCGGCCGAGTCGCGCTTTCCAGGCTCCCCGGGAAAAAGTCCCGAAGGCCAGGCGCAGCGGCGAGGGACGCGATTCCCAGCCCCTGCTCCCGATCGTCCCCCGCCGCCTCGCTGCTTCCCGCCGCGGCCCCGCTCACCCAGCCGGTCCCCGCGGCCCGCTCCCCGCCCGCCGGGCCGGCGACGCGCGGTTACCATGTAGGACGGGAAGCCGGCGGCGGCGGCGGCCGCGTCCACCGAGTACTGCAGCGGGCTGCCGAAGCCAGTGGCCGCCTGCGCCGTGAAGGCCGCCGAGCCGGGGTAGGGGCTGAAGGCCGAGCCCGACGCCGAGCGCGCCAGCTCCTCGCTGCGCGGCGCCGCCAGCGCCGACGCGCCGTACGCCGGGCACGAGTAGAGCGCCAGCGAGCCGGGCGCTTGGT